TCAAGAATATCCTGAACAATTCTTCTTTATATGCTGTGTCCCCTCAGTATGCAGCCGATTATGACTCTGCACAACTTCCTATCTCTTGGGTATCTGTCTATATATCTGAGATTAGGTATTATTTACATTATTCTGACTATTGTCCTTATCTTTGTCGCCATATTTATTACAACTTTTCGGCCGTTGTACGCTCCGGCCTTCTTCAGGTAGTTGGAATGTCAAACTGTGGTCCATATAACATCAGGACAAGCTTCAAAAGCTTGATGACACTTCGCAGATATCTCTCCCAAGTAAGACCCCCCCATAGAGGAGAACACGACTAAAGACTGTGTGTACGCTATCCCGTGCAGCTGCGGAAAGGAATATAAAGGAGAGACAGGCCGCCCCCTCAAGGTAAGGCTTCAAGAACACCAAAAAGCTGTAACTCGTGGGGAAGTAGAAAAATCAGGCGTGGCTGACCACATATGGAGAGAGAAGGGAGGTCACCACCCACTGTTGGATTAGGTTGAGATCATAGACAAGGAAAACCATTGGAGATTTTGTAAACTTAAGGAATCAGCACATATGCTAGGCCACAAAAATCATCTGAGCAGACCAAGCATAGAAATGAATACAATATGGGAACCAGTAATAAAGAGTGCCAGAGAAAATCGATAATAACAACAAAAGTTGCAATATGAGCTCTGGTAAAAACATAATGTGATAACACCAAAAAAATGCAATATAAGCACTGGTAAAAATGGTTAATAATACTCAGAAATTCATACACAGATGTCCTCAAGGACACATGGCACAGTGTATAAAGGCGTTGGTTAGATTCAGTGACAGCAGCCGGTTAAGTTAGAGGAGAACTTGGAGAGGGGAATTAACAGGAGATAACTGATAAACATGGCACGTGGAACTAGAACAGTCTACCCCAGTGAGCGAAATAAATGGTTAAGTTTGACATTCCATCCACCAGAAGGCCGGAGCGTACAACGGCCGAAACGTTGTAATAAATATGGCGACAAAGATGAGGACAATAGTCCGAATAATGTAGATAGTGTAAAATATATTTATCGATTTGTACATCCATACTTCAGAAATTCTGCATCTATAAACATATATAAAAACAAATCGAAATTCTTTAAAAATAGTCGGGATCTTCAGAGTTTTATAAGCTTTAAAATATATGATTAGCAATTATAGTTTTAGTTAATAACATTATTCACTAATAAGTATCTCATTGAACTTGAACTTTAAAGATTCAAAAACTTTATAAATTATACAATTTTAAATTGTAAAATTTGTAAAATCTGAAATCTTGCAAAAATTCATTTTTCATAGAATTTTTTTTCTTCAAACAGTATTATCTTTAATACATATAATTCATAAAAGCAATTAAAAGCTTCTCTAATTAAATAATGTCTTAGTTTTATTACGTTTTTTTTTATTTTTTGATTCAGAAAAGTTTTTCTGTAACACCTGGTCATATTTTGCAAAAAAGAAAAATCATTGATTTAATTTCATCAGTAAATTCTGCTTTTAACTTATATAATCGCAAAAAATCATCTCGATGAATTTCTCAAGTTTTCATTAAATTAAGTAAGTTGGATGAAAAACATGTAAAATAAAAAAAAAATCTAATAAAGATTTTGTAATTAGAAAATTTAAAAAATAATGAAATGACCAAAAAATATTTTGATCCCTTCTCTTAATAATAACAACGATTTTGACGATAAAACTATGTTTTCATTACATTTAGAGCATATTTTCACTACGGTATGCTGATTTTTTAGCGATTTCGGGGAGGTACCTACTTAAAATATTTTTAAATCAGATTAGCTTTAAAATATTGTTTTTAATATGCCAAAAAATGATTTTAAATCATATTCACTTGAAAATATTTTTAAATATGTCAAAAATTATGTTTTAAATATTTAAAATATTGTTTGTTTAAAGAAAGCTGAAATCTAAATAAGCACACATGCAATCAGAGAGAAGTGGAAAGAGAGAGGTGGAAAGAGAGAGAGGTGGAAAGAGAAAGGTGGAAAGAGAGAGGTGGAAAGAGAGAGGTGGAAAGAGAGTGGTGGAAAGAGGAAGGTAGATAAAGAGAGGTGGAAAGAGAGTTGTGGAAAGAGAGAGGAGGAGAGAAAGATATGATAATAGAGAGGTGGAAAGAGAGACGTGATAAGTGAGAGGTGGAAAGAGAGAAGTGGAAAGAGAAAGGTGGAAAGAGATAGGTGAAAAGAAACCTAAACCTTTATTATACGCCGGACGGACGACGCACTACACAAGCACGATTCACAGGCTTTTAGTATTATATAGATACTGGAAAATAAATATTAAATCAAGTGCTAGGTCTGCTGCTAGAAAAGGTGGTACACTGTGTCGTGCTGGACAATTTTTGCGCAAACAGAATCTAATGTATATATTTCTAAGTGTACTATTCGTCTTGGTTTTGCATAATGCTGCCACATTTGGTCTGGAGGTCTTGCTATGTATTTAGAGATTCTTGATGAAATTCAAAGAAGAATCTGCAATGTCATTGGTTCTGACCTGGCATCTTTTCAATCTGTCTTTTCTATAAATATTTTCATGATAAATGTTCTGATGAACTTTCCCCTATGCTACCTGGACTTTATGCATTTAAGTGCAGTACTAAATTGGCATCAAATTCTCATTTTACAGTTCAAATGGCTAGATATAAGTTCTATGCTAACAGAACTTCTAGCACTTCACGCCCGTGGAATTATCTCCCTGCTTATTGCTTCTCAATCAAATTTGTTTTTCAAAAATTTAAATACAATGCCAATCGGTATCTACTGTCTTCTTAATTCTTGTTCATTCAATGTTCTTTCTCCTTGATAGAGTTTTTTTTTCCCCCTTCATAGTCTTACGGTTTGGTGTCGGTATTGCCTTGCTTGGGGTGATTAAAAAAGAACAAAATTGAAAAGGAAATCTGGAGATAGAGAAAATAAAAGACTAAGACAGATTAACCTTAAGAAGGAAATCATTCACTAGCAAATTCTTGAGAATTCCTGTCCACTCCTAACGTTTCCTTTCCACTGTCATTCCCACAAGAGATCCACGTGCCTCATCCTCTTAAAAGATAGATCACCCACTTGAGGGACTCACGCTTCTACAACGTGCTTGTTCGAGATAACGATCGAATTGTGACGAATTCCTAGATTTGTCGAGTGTGTACAGTATTTAGCTTACTGAGTCACAGGTTCACCAAGATACCCATTAAGTTCTCATTCAGACGCATGTCGATTGACTTTTCCTTCTTAATGATGTCAAAGAGATGTCAACAAGCTACGAAAAAATACAGAAAAGAAATCCGGTCACCTAAAAACCATATCGAATGTAAACAGCGACTGGGTAGATTTTCGACACTTATTTGTTTAGGTCTAGTCCAACAGGCACGTATAATTGAACCTGATAAAGATCGAAATAGGTTATCAGTTTAAGCACATTGACACAAATCAGTTGAACCGATTTTTCAAGTGTTATTACTATATATATATATATATATATATATATGTGTGTGTGTGTGTGTGTGTGTGTGTGTGTGTGTGTTTGTATATATACATTCATGTATATATGTATGTATAGGCAAATGCTAGAATAATAATTTTAATATTTTAATGATGGAAGAAAAGTACATATATATATATATATATATATATATATATATATATATATATATATATATATATATATATATATATATATATATATATATATGTGTGTGTGTGTGTGTGTGTGTGTAGCACTATCGCAGCCTATTCAATGTTCAATTTCTTTCTCTCCTCAACTAAACTTGTATAAAATCACTCAAAGAAAGCTAGGTAGGTTATCGGTAACCAAACCCAAAAGACGGTTTTTGATGATAGCAGCATTTAATGAAATGTCAATTCATGTCAGAAGTAGGCAATTATATAGAAAAAATATACATAGACGCATTACATCAAAAAAAAGTTTTAACAAAAAACATGAAACGTCAAAAAAAGATTGCCCCAAAGATTATCAGTTAAAACGTAAAATGTGCAGTGGTGATATATATAGACGAAAGCAAATTTAAACTATATTCTTATGAAAGTAACGGCGTTAGCCGGTCATTTGGTACAAGAATAAAACCAAAGTATCGAGAGAAAACTGTATAATCTGGGAGTGAGTGTCTAACGGTTTGAGACTAGGCAAAAAGCAATATGTTACTTTAGTAAAGTACCAACTTTTATAAGATATAGCAGAAGGTAAAATATTCAATGATGAAAAAGTACTTTAGAATATATTGCGGGAAAATACCAAGTTACACTCCAATGGATATATTGCAATATTACAAGACTGGCCTATATAAAACTGTGACCTCCATTCAACGTCAAATTGAGGGCGTAGCCTGTGCCATTGGGAGTCATACTAAGTACTGATTATGTAGAGAAATATATAAATTTAATGTTATATTTTTTCATAATTTTCGCATGCTCAATTTCCAACATCACCGTGCATTCAACTCTGTAGCTCCCTTTGGACTGAGTCAATGTGACGGTAAGAGCTTCCATTTCAGTCCTGAATTATCGTACATACAACTACTAATATAGTTTACATTAAACTGATTGATTATATAAACCGTTGGCTCGTTTGTGTTGCACGCTTTTAGATATACATTATATGTATAAATATAAAAGTGGACAATGAGGTAAGCACTAGAGGCGACAGTCTGTTTCATGTCATATATCCCCACCCACTTTTATATTTACAAACGCTCTATCCCTGATATAGAGAACTTTTGCACATAAATATAGCATAATTTAAAACAATATTTTTATCATATACCGGGTGTAACAACAAAACTGTCCAACTCGTGTTATAACATAATTTTCCATCCATAAAACGTTTAATATTTTAAAAAAAAAACTATTAAACTAATTGAGTTTCTTTTTTCCCGCTTTTCAGGTAAGACAGCCATCTTGACACCATTTGTCGCAAGAATCACTGAAAAATCCTTTGAACTATTCGGCTAGAAAGAGAACAGGATAAAATAGTTTTGTATCAGAGCCACTATCTTCCTGACTGACCAATGGTGAAAGGAAATGGATCCTTCAGGCCTTCAGTAATGGTACCGACATTCATATCTCAAAAGTCCATTCACGAACCATCAAGAGAATGGTGAATGTTTCAAAAGAGAGAACAGTAGAGAGGAAGACTGGATCAGGAGGTCACAACAGGAAGAGTGATCATCATTTCAACTTAGATCTAAAGAGATCAATTAGAAAAGATCCAACTCAATTCATAAGATGTTTGGTACATAAGAGAGGAGTTTCACCTGTGACAGTCCAAAGAGCATTAAAAAAAGATTTGTAAATGAAATCGTACTTGAAACGTGTGATGCAACTTGTTACTCCAAGACAGAAAGTTAAAAGGGTAGAGAGGGTGAAGAAGTTGAAAAATGGTCCTGGAATATATATATATATATATATATATATATATATATATATATATATATATATGACCATTATTTAAGACGCTCATGCGCTTCTGATCCTTAGCTATGATTAATTACTGATGAACATGTCATTAACGTTTATGGTCGATTTCATCACTACTCTTCGGGTAAGCTTGGAGAGTAATTATGCATTTATTGTTCAAAGTAGATTCCTCGGAGAATTCTAAGGAGATATCTTGAATTATTTCTAAGATACATCGGCTCAGAACGTAATTTGATCAATAGACAATTTGCATTTCACATGGTATATATATATATATATATATATATATATATATATATATATATATATATATGTGTGTGTGTGTGTGTGTGTGTGTGTGTATGTATGGGTGTGTGTGTGTGTGTGTGCGTGTGCGTGCGCGCGCGAATGAGACAAAGTGAAAAATATGTGTTCCCTTTGGCTTCTTCAGTTTGAAAAAAGACAAAAATTCATTGTGAGGTAAAAGAACGTCTTGGGATCTCTGAGGATATGTGACCATCTTAGATCAAATCTGTTGCCACAGTTTATCACCTCATATATATGTGTGTGTGTGTGTGTGTGTGTGTGTGTGGATATATGTATGAATAATAATAATAATAATAATAATAATAATAACTCCCTATGTGGCTTATATATGCCAAGGATATTTCAAGATTGCCTAATAGCTATCAACCCCCATATGTATGTATGTGTGTGTGTGTGTTGCGTTTGTGTGTGTTCATGTGGCTGCGTGTGTATGTATGTGTCATGTCTCTGTCTGTGCCCACGTGTGTGTGTGCGCGTGCGTGCGTGTGTGTACAAGTCACAAGCGTAATTGAGATATTGAACAGAATCGTATAAGCACAAAAATCTCAAGAGAGATATTCGTAAGATGGTCCATGTTAACCTGTGGCTTGTGCTGCAATTCTGCTGAGCGAAGCTTATTTACAGTTTCTGGGGAAATAATAATCTGGTGTGGTCAGGCATTTTGAACAAGGTCCAAACGCTCGAATTTTCTGTCATACTTAAATAAATCCTAGGCAACAAGATATTAATATTGGCGAATTGTTGTCAGCCGTGGTTAGGCTAAAGTTACGCAACTAAGGCGTGACTTTTGAACTGAGCTGAACAGACATCCCCGACAATATAAACAAATGTATTTCTCATTATAATTTTAGCCAAAAGTATGTAATATTTTTTTTTCAAAATCCAGTTAATTAATATTTAAAATGTTTATATTTTCAATAAATTTTTGAAAGATTTAAAAACAATTATATTTTCATCAGTTTATTTGTTGAGAGGCACAGCAAGGAACAACGTCTAAATCTAAATCCAATTGGAACGATAAAAAATCTATTTGCTCGGAAAATTTGATTCATTTGGGGAAGAGATTAAAATAATCCATAAGATATATTGGAAGCTAACCGCTTATATATGGATTAAAAATGAATAGAACAATATGCAAAAACGGAAACGGTGTAATGCAGATCTTGTATATAACTAATACGTATGTTTAGTAGTTTATATTATATATATATATATATATATATATATATATATATATATATATATATATATATATATATATATATATATATATCCCTATGAATCCTTTTTTAGCGTATATAGCCACCAGTGTTCTCCGAATTTTTTTAAATTTAAATTGAAACTGAAATTTTTATATTTAAATTTTAAATAAAAGTGTTAGTTTGAACATAAATTTAAATTTAGTTTATAGTACAATTAAATATTAATAATAAGATTAAAAAAAAAACTAGGCAAACGCCACGAGACCCAGCAAAGTAATCCCTATACCGGCCATTTCATTTACACATGATGATTGCCTAGAGCGTGAAACTGTCTTTGTAGAGTATTGTGAATATTTAATAATATATACTTAATAGCTCTGTTATATTGCATTGATTACTGTTTTATATACACCAAAGGATATATATATATATATATATATATATGAAGAAAAATATATACGGAAAAAACAAAACAAAAATCCTTAAATACGATTATGCTGTTTTAATGTTAATATGTCAACGTCTGACGTTTCGGTCTAACAAACCATCTTCAGGACATATTCATTCTTTGTCATTTTGTATGGATAATGTTATATTTATGAATATGTCCTGAAGATGGTTTATTAGACCGAAACGTCAGACGTTGACATATTAACATTAAAACAGCATGATCGTATTTATTTTTGTTTTGTTTTTTCCGTATATATTTTTTCTTCATACTGTCGGATCTATATCCATATATTATATATATATATATATATATATATATATATATATATATATATATATATATATATATATTGTACTCGTTGGAAAAAACTCAGGTAGCTCGACTTGCAGTAGAACAAATCGGTACCCGAGGAAAAATTGGGAATAAAAAAGAAAGTACCAAGAACATTAAAACTATTCGAAAACAATCGTCCAGTGTTTAAGCTCCAAGTCCCCGCCAAAAAAAAAAAAACAAGTAAAAAGACAACTACGTAAAGTGCTCAATACACTAAGTAGGGCAAAGCCATATTTCCTTGACGTTTTTTACGTCATGCGGAATGAAGCGATTACTGATACCTAAAAGAGTTCGTTGCGTCCCGTGAAAGCTGTGGAGTGGAGGTTGTTGCATTGACCAACACAGGTGCGTTGCGCACACCCAGAGTTCGAGCAGCTTTGAGGAAACATGTCGATGGGCTCGCTCAGTGTTGTCTGCTTTATGACTTTAAGATGGGTTTTTATGCAGCCGCATCAAGTCAGCGAATACCATAAGCCTTTGAGAATAATTCTGTCAGTGGACTCAGCGCCATGCATTGTTTCCAGATGTTTAGATCTGGAGATCTGTGTTTTTGTGATAAAACCCGTACTGCCCAGCCACAAATCCTGGATGATGAGGTCCCAAAGGTGACCATAAAGAAGGACAACAGCCATGGTGAGTTTGCCCAACGCTTCCAAGTTTCTGATGAAACAGTAAAACTTCACCTGAATTGCATAGGGAAGATGTACACCACATACCGTCGGAATCCAGCTAGCATCAACATATGGCAGCCTGTTTCTCGCTTCATCCTCGGCATCGCAATATATCTATATTTTGATCGAGTGCTCGCCAGTGACGAAAGATTAGCCCTGCATGACAATCCCAAGCCTGCCAGCCATTTGTTGTCACCACGGGATTCCGTTTCTCACACCACAGGACCACTTCTACACCTACGTAATATTATGTTCTGTATTTAATGGACTAGTTAACAAGTGGTGCACTATGAGCTGCTACCAACGGACCAAACCATCACGGCAGACCTGTACTTGGGGCACTTTGAACGTGTGAACCAGGCAAGGGTGTACTTTTCCTCCTTGACATTGCTAGGACTCATGAGGCCAGAGTAATCATGAGTGCAATACAGCAAGTCGGTTGTGAGACACTGTGCCATCCACCTTGACTCCCAGGATGTTGCGCCAATGGATTACCATATCTTCCATTTCCTGGATCACCACATTTGTTGGATCTCCTTCACAAATGTGGTAGACTTGTGGCAGGCACTCACAGACAACTTTTTTGTCCAAAACACCATGAAAGTATTTATAGAAAAGGCAGAGGGTAGCAACATTACGGCGATGAAGAATGGCAGGACAGGTTCAGTAACACAACGTGTTTATCTTATTAACAAAAACAGTAGTTTTTCGTAAAAACTTTAATATATTGATCACAGGTGAATATATAAGAAAATGTAGAAAATTTTTTTTATTGACATGTTTTGCCAATCAAACAGAGAAACGAACCTTATTCCAATAAATAAAATAAAATGTACTTTTTATCTGATGACGCTCTTTGATTGGCGAAGACGACAAAATAAATGTTTTTTATTGGCCTTATATATTTACCATTTTGTCGGATTTCCATCCAAATTAAAATCTTTTTGATCCTTTCAAAGCATGCATAAATTAATTACAAATAAAAATTGAGTAAACAAGAAATTGTGACATTTTTTATTTCATAAAAATCACGACATAGCTTTATGGCCAGAACATTCAACGTAAATACAATTTCGATGTTATATAAATCAACCCTCGTCTATCAAACAGGATAAATTTCATCTTCCCTAAGAAGCCTCACACTGTGGCCTTATGCCAGACTAAACTAAACATATAAATATATACCAATCTGTTTGTTCAGATATATCTTTCTCTACCGTTATCTATCTATTGTTTCTGTCTCTCTCTTTCCTATTTCTCTCTCTTTCTTTCTCACTGTATATATCTATGACTATCTATCTATCTATCTATCTATCTATCTATCTATATATATATATATATATATATATATATATATATATATATATATGTGTGTGTGTGTGTGTGTGTGTGTGTGTTTGTGTTTGTGTATGTGATTTTTTTTTCATTCTTCTCCACCCCGTGATTTTCTTTCTCGCTATCGGAATCCTTATAAACAAGGTGGCGCCTCTGACGAAAGCGAATTACGTCCGCCGTGCCACGCGCCAACTGGCGAACAGTATTTGAAAACATACCCCAGCGGGACATAGTTTTCACCTCCAGAAGCGTTCGTCGTTTCCGTCTCGTCTCACGCGCCGCGCCCCGACCGTGTCTTTCTCTGTCCGCCTTTTCTGTCTTAACCAAGAACAAGCTTAGTGGATTCTCGCTTCCATATATCCTGTCTTCACAAAGCAGCCTCTTCTCGTGCCCAAATGGAATGCTGATGAGAGCGATTCCAATGTCCTTGATACGAAGAATACAGTTAAATTACTCTTCAGCGAAAGTGGTTTGCCAGGCCTTAGACAAAAATAAGCAAACAAAAAATTACTACTATTTATCTATTTATTATTTTCCTTTCGTTCTTTTCTTTCTTTTTTCTTACTTTTCTTTTCTGTCGTTTTTTTTTATTTCTTGCTCTCAATGATTTTCCTTTTTGTTATCCGTTTTTCTTTCTTTCTCCGACTACCTCGTTTGCCATTTTTTTTCTTTTTATCCAGTTTAGAAAGTAAGTCATCCCACAAATTGTCAACATTGAAAATAATTCACTCGCTAATCCAAAGATCAATAAAAATAGCACTTCCCACTGGTTAAAATTGATCTATATCTTTGATCTATAAAATCTTATTGATACTATTGCTATATATGGTCTGGTGCCCCACGCTGTTCATCCCAAGGTCCTTGGCAAAATCCAGAGACGGGTATACAATAGGTCCTGATCTGGCATCTTGTCTACAGTTACTTCCTCACAGACGTGGTGTGGCTTCGCTCTCTCTTTTCTACAAATATTTTCATGGCAATTGCTCTGACGAGCTATTTTCACTGGTGCCCCGACTGCATGAATTTAAACGTGCTACTAGGTTGGCATCTCGGTCCCACTCTTTTATTGTCGAAACAGTTAAATGTAACCACCTCTTCTACTCCAACAGCTTCTTCTCTCGCACGTCCCGCCAATGGAACCCCCTTCCTCCTACTTACTTCCCTGAGAGCTATAATCTTCAAATATTCAAATGTAATGAGAATCGACATCTTCTGATGCCCTGATCCTGATCCCCGTCCTTCTCTTTATATTTTCCTCAAATCCCCTTCTTCCCTCTTGCTCTCATTCTCTGTAACCTCTTGCGTGCTAATGGAACTCCGTCTCTGCTTAGGATTAAAAAATAATGGTCCATCAAGTCTATTCCTATAAAAAGAAAATATCAATTATTTGGACTGAACGCTTGCAACCCTTTTGCTAAATCTTCTTCTTCTTGTTCTTCCTCTTCTTCTATGTGGTGAGTTCCTTTAGAACGTTGGCGATCACGACTCTCTCCAATTTCCTGTCTTTTGTAGCTCTTAATAAATGTTGCCTTGTTGTTATCTACCCTAAACCCTGTTCCGCCACCCATTTACTTGAGCTCACTAAGTATGTTATGCGTTGGTTTCCTCTACCCCTGTTGCTTCAATCTATCCTGTGAGTATCAAATTTTCCAAGCCCTCTTTCCTCATTATGTGACCTAGAAATTTCAACTGTCTCATCCTCATGTTAAGTATAAGTTTCCTTTTTCTTTCCATTTCCTCTAAAACTTCATCCTTACTTATATTTTCGGCCAATGGTATCGTCAGCATCTTTCTGTAGAACCATATTTCTGTTGCTTCAGGTCGTTTGTTCATCTGTGTGAAGATTGTCCAACATTCACTGCCATATCGGAGGACCAATCCCTTTGAGAATAACAAAAATCCTTTTATTACATATCGAGAATTATATCTCAACTTTCGGCTATAAGCATTCACCTCATGCCAGGTATTGGTAATGCAAATGTTATAAATTTTTATAAATCAATTTATTAGCGTGTATGGAAGTTCCGGTTAAAACCCAGAGCCCAGAATGCATTGTTTCTGTTATGAATGATAAGCAATGTAGAATATACATTTTACAATTGTAGTATCCTTCCGCCCTTACAAATAAATTTAAAAAAAAAATGATACCGGAAATTGTATCGTAGAAGTCTAGATTTCAAGCCTAAAAAGTATTTCCAAAAATAGAGTAGAGATTGACTTATTTTGTGGGTATAAGATGCAAACCTTACCCCTAAGTTATAAACAAGTGGGACAGCCCTCTTAACAATTACTGCACACCATTTACCGTAACATCAGCAGATTGTCACAAATATATCCAAGTAAAAGTTGTATTTAGCAAACATATTTGGCATATTAACACATAAATTAATATAAAATAAAAAAATACTAACTCAAATTCAGTATTCTATAAACGTTAGAGAATACATTGCGTCTTATAGCTGTTTTAAGTGTCGTACTGGTAACTTGTCTTGTTGGTCTGTCCATTGTAAATGTGGCTCATTAAAAGGATGGTAGTCTGCGCTGAGTGTCGCTAGTGTAACGGATTCAGTTTAGCTGCCTGAGATCGGTGGCTTAAATGAAAAGATAATTGTTTTTAAATCTTTCAAAATGGATGAGTTCTAATAGAAATTTTATTGGAAATATAATAATTTTCAATATTAACTGGTTATTTGTTTACATCACTGATGCAAATCACAGATGAGTGACACTGTTTTATAATAACATCCAATAGGTAACAGTGCTATCAAAAATCTACCTAGTATGATGTGCAATCTACAGTATTTTTTTGTTGAATTCAATGTGTTTATCATCAGACCCGAAGAATTTAAAATGTTCGCTTAGTTATCCCGATACAATATACGGATGTGTGTTGTAGATTGTTTGCTATACAATGTATATAGAAATATATTACGGTTAGTGTGTTAATATACAAGTTAGTTAGTGGTGTGACATTATGTAATTTTGGCATAGGTTATCGTATATATTATGCTTTTAAATTCCTTGAGGAACATAGGGCCGCAAGACATCTTTGCGGTTTCTGTAACAAGACAGTTTAAAGTGAGTAGGTTGTTAGAATCGAGTTTTTAATTCAGAGTTGTCCTTCTCCTAGAAGAAAAACATTATTTATATCTTTCCCAAAGGTATTAGCATGTAAGTGAATGTAACGGATTCGACTGGAATTCGAACTCGGCTCTCCACTTCCTCAATGTGAGCCGCTATCCTCTGTAACCTAAATTCATTTACCAGTAGGCGTAAGATTTCGGCTACTAGAAGCCGACCGTGTGTTTGGAGGTCGATCTTCCCGGTGGGTATAGGGCTAACTTAGAATATTGAGTTAACATTCTTGAGGTCGCTGCAATTTACGGCAATTCTCTTCGCTATTTAACGTTTTGGATTTAGGAATTACATTCACTTACATGCTAATACCCTTGAGAAAAGTATGAATCCTCTTCTCCCCCCAGCTATGGGTATAATAGCAGGACAGACCAGGTTTTAGAGCCTTGGATGGCAAATGGTCTACCGCAAAAAGAAATGGCAACCTACTGCGGGAAAAAATATGCCTCGTCAGTCATGTGTCGAAAGATACATGATCGCCTACGCGTGTATCACGCATGGCACATAACTGACTGATTTAACGTATAGTCAAAATGTTTACAACTCTCCTTTGACCACATGACTGGGGACATAAAAAGATGAAAATGTCCCCTTTCGCTTTCTTTACTGACTATGAAGGAAACTGAGAAAACAGTACCGAGGACAATAAAAACAACAGGATTAAATGAAGCAGAATATGTCGACTGACGTGGCATGTTATGGCCGTTTGAAAAACGTGAATTGTCTTTTTATATTTGGGTGATGTCTAAAGTCTTTCATAAATGAAAGAACAACACTCCAAGAATTCCCGAAAGGTACTGAAAAATTCTATAAGAGAATGACTTACACGAAAAGTGCCAGTTCTTTAGAATAGACCCAGACGGTTTAATTCTTACTACAGCGGAAACGCAAGAAACCATTTCCTCTTACTACAGTCTCGATATCACTTCGTGGTTTTTTGGTAATGAATGACAAATTTCACCAGAAAATTATCATTTCATGGATTGAATTTGTTTAGTTACTACACACATGAGTCCTTGGTTTGACGATATACTACATCCCGCAGCAAAACTTCCGATCTGGACATTGGATGTTTTCAGGAGCGTGGAACAACCGCTTAATTGCTTTTGTTCCTAGATCCACTATGACTCGGCTGGTAGCACCTGTTAGAGTTCCAGCTATAGGGAAATTGTGACCTCCCCACCGCAAAAAAAAACCCCCAAAAAATACACTTTGAATCTATAAAGATATATTTTTATAGTAAAATTACCAGCAATGCATTTTTATATAAATAAAATGACTAACAATACAATTTTAAAGCAAATTTTATAGTAGAATTACTAATAATATATTTTATCAAAAAATGACCAACAATATGTCTTATCTGTAGTTGAAAGCATACAATTACATTCAAAATATATTTAGAGAAATCCATAAATTTGTGTTCAAATTATTTAGGTTTCTGCATTAAATAACGCACAGAGGTTGATTTACCGCCAAAAAATCAACCACTCACATAGATGGTAATACTAAGATATTATTGTTTATGCATGTCGAAGAGATGCCATCTGAAATATAGAAAAAAAAATCCTCGCTGAATTATTTATTTACAGTAATGTTCATCCTGCACAAAGATCAAAAGTACCTTGCCGGTCATGTTGAATCGTGCATTATATCCCTGCACAATTTTCTCCATAGCTGAGTCGGTATAAGCGTGCCGAATCTAATAACGGTTTCTCCTGCCAAGAGGTTGGGGGTATAGTTTCGAATCCTGCTGAGGAGCACATATTTTTCTTTAATAGGTTTTATCAAATATTCAGACTGATAGAGGAAAATAAATAAATACACTGTTTAATAAATAAATGGAGCGTCTAAACAAATATTGGTATCCACTAAAAACAACGTTTAATTAACAAAATCTGTCGGATTAATAAATTTGAAAAATCTATTACTTCTTTATATATTAGATTAGCAAATGTTTGTAACATTATATTTATATATTCTCCCAATATACATATTAAAATCAGACTCCAACGGACAATCAGCTTAATGAGCCATATAACAAAACTAATCATCCTAATTCTGATGAATCGAGTGTGCAGCAGAATCAGACCCGA